GGTGGAAACCCTATACAGGGTCGCAATGGGTCGGAACCAACTTGATGGTATTTAACTTACTATCATTAGACTTCCTCTATTCCTTTCTGTGTTAGTAATGTGTCTCCATATAACAACATTACCACAAAGTTAACAGTTTGAAACAACAGGCCTTTATTGTCTCCATTTCTGTGGGCCAGGAATCTAAGCACAACTCATGTGGTTGTTGGCAGCACTCGGTTCCTTGCCATGTGGCCCTCTCCATAGGGAAGATTACATTATAGCAGCTTGCTCTTCAAAGCCAGCCAAGAGCAGAGTTTCTCAGCAATTCAGAGTGCACAGTCTTATGAAACATAATCACGGATATGTGTTAGGCAGTTAGAGTAGGCAAAGGAAGAGGGTCTCCTGTCATACCCCACACAGCATATCTCAGCAGAAATCCAGACAAAAGGGGGCCCTGATAGGGTATAGGAGAAGGAACTGTTTTAAGATGATAAGGGAAGGACGTTAGTCAGTCATGAGCCTGAGGAACAAGACTTGGAGTAACCATATGCTGGACAAAATCTCCAGATTAGCTGCTCAGACACTTAACCAGGAATATGGCTCACAGCCCTAATGGGAGGATATGTATAAAGGAAAAGTCAAATTGTGTTTGGGGCTCCTCCTCAGTTGTGAGGTGGAAACCCGTTTTTATCTCTGTAAGAATGTCTATGCTTAATAAATTCTTTTATTTGTCTAAGCCCTGCCTTTTTAACCTCTTTCTTGTGTAGTTAATATAGTTAATTTGGGGGGATGGTAGCACCATTCCAGAGACAGCGTTTCAACTGTGACAAAACCAGTAAAAATATGATCTTCTCAGACAGACCAGATCTAAAAGATAGGTCTTTAAAATAGCCCAAGGACACTTGGTTTATAGACAGAACATGATAAAAAATGGCAGACGAGTTGCTAGGTATGCCATAGTGTCCCTATCCGAAATAATTTAAGATTGAAAGTTTACCAGACAGAACCTCAGCCCAGGGAACTGAATTAGTTGCCCTCACAAGGGCCCTAGAGTTGGCCAAGGGAAGAAGAATTCAGGTTTACACAGAAAGTAAATATGCTTTTCTAATTCTTCATGCCCGTGGCACCAGGATTGGAGAAAGACTCATTAGCAACCTGCAATGTGCAGATGACACGACCTTGCTTGCTGAAAGTGAAGAGGATTTAAAATATTTACTGATGAAGATCAAAGATTGGTATAGATTGCACCTCAATGTAAAGAAAACAAAAATCCTCACCACTGGACCAATAAACAACATCTATATAAATAAGACTGACGTCAAAGATTTCATTTTGCTCAGATCAACCATCAGCATTCATGGAAGCAAGAGTCAAGAACGCAAACTACGTATGTATTGCATTAGGCAAATCTGCTTAAAGACCTATTAAAAGAGTTCAAGAGCAAAGATGTCCGTTTGAGAACTAAGGTATGCCTTATTTTCAGTAACATCATGTACACATGAAAGTTGGACAGTGAATAAGGAAGATTCTAGAAGAATTGATGCATTTGAGTTATGGTGTTGGAGGAGAATCTTGAAAGTACTGTGTAAACTTACAAAAGCACAGAAAAATCTGTGTTGGAAGAAGTACAGCCAGAATGCTCCATGGAAGCCAGGATGGCCAGACTTTGTCTCTCATACTTAGGACAGATTATCAGGAGGGACCACTTGTACTCCTAACTCCTCTACCATTAATCTTCCTTCTTTCCCTATTACACGGAGCACTTCTCCCGATCTGCGTTAGAGTTAGTAACATACTGCACTACTAAAACTGAATATATACTGATGGTTATGCATCTCTGGAGCTCTGGTAGCGTAGTGGTTATGAATCGGGCTGCGAACCTTAAGGTCAGCAGTTCGAAACTACCAGCTGCACCGCGGGAGAAAGATGAGGCTTTCTACTCCCGTAAAGATTTACACCCTCGGAAACCCTATACAGGGTCACTATGGGTCGGAAACGACTCGATGGCACATAACAACAACAATGCATCTCTACTTGGAGCTGGGGATATGTACAACCTGTACCACAAGAACAGTGGGCTAATGTTTCCACTGACCTGAACCAAAGAACCCTTCTTGCCTCTCCAGGATGAAGGACAGTGGTCACATTGAACCTACAAAAAGTTTATTTCCAACCTGTATCTGTGTTCAGCCAAGACACACAAAGGGTACCACAAGGTCCAATATTTTCCCATCTGCCAGATTTCCAGACAGTGAAATTCCCTTTCTGTGTCATTAGTAATGACTCACGCGAAATGGGGCCACACTGGGAAAAATTGACCTAAAGCAATGTGAACAAAGTTTCCTCTTCCCGAGGTTCACACTGACCAACACCTCGGCAAGAATTGCCCTAACTACCAGTACAGGCAGTGAAAATGATGCAAAAAACTGTATCCTAACCCAAACCTCACCTTCAGAGAACACTCTTCTCTTCAGATTTCTGCAAAGGTAGATCCCACAAATCTATCAATTATCTCCTACCTCAAATGACTACATCTTGCCAAACCTTGGCCAGAACTCCCAATGGGCACTCCACTTCAATCAACAGAAGGTAACGTTAAAAACAGTATTTCTGAATGCCATCCCTGAACTTCATAGGCTGTGGGATCCCCTCTAGACCCACTAGGGGCTCAGGAAGTCCAGTCATGGGAAACTAAGTCTAAGAAGGGAACAGGGAAGCATGCAGTTGGAGAGAGTTTCCCTACCAAATGTACTGAGCTTACCTGCGAAGGAGAACTCCAACCTCCAGAAGGAGTATATTGGATATGCAGGTCCAGAGCCTGCTGGTCCTTACCTTCTACGTGGAAAGGAGTTTACTCCTTAGAATACGTGCTTCTAGAAACCTATGTAGCCTGGGAAAATTCTTCCATTCCCTTTCCTCTCAGGGCATCTGGAAAACCA